AGAGAGCATCTGCATTGCAACAATCATCCGAGAATCTATCCGGTCATGCCGAAGACTTCCAGAAGAAGATCTGTAACTACGCCGTCTCCCTTAAGGCCATCGGTAACCTCGTCCCAATCCCTTGCCGAGCCCCCGACTGATTCCTCCAACGATGTCATGGTCAAGTTACTGGAAAAGATAGAGGCTCTTTCAGTAAGGGTCGATGCTTTGAGCACAACCACTCCCGAGCCTCAAGGGACCTCCTCCCCAAGATCACCTCTACCTCAAGCTACCTCCTCCCCTCCTACAGTTGTCTCCGCTCACCCAATCGACTCTAACTCTGACCCCCGTGGCAAATGCCGCCAGATTATCCAGACTGCGAGAAAAGAGGCGAGGCAGGAGTTGAAGGTTACTAACTTCAGCACATTCCTGGGAGGTGAGCAGAAGGACGAGGCCATTCTGCTTGACATCTCAGCTAATCCCGCTTCTGGTCGAGGAAAGATCTCTCAATCACCTTCGACCATCAGAGGTCATCTAAGTGCTTTCGACCGTCTATTGACTACCAGTGCTATCCCCCCTGGCTCGGTATGCTCTTATTTTCGCTTGCTGTACTCCCTCTCGGAGAATGTGAAGAACCGTATCTCGGCCACCACTGACTACTCTCTATCAGAGTTCTCTAATGAGCACTCTCTCTATCGGAGGTTCGAGACCTTATACAACGACCTTCGAGCCACATTGTTAAGCACTTACCTAGATGTCAGTGAGGGCGCTCGCCTTCGTCAAGAGTGGCACGACCTTTCCCAGAAGGATGGTTCCTCTTATCTAACCTTCCTGATCAGTCTTGATAGATTGAGAGTCGAACTTCGTCTTCAAGGCGATATCCTAGCTGACTCTGCGGTGTATGACAAATTAATTAATTGTACTTCGTCCCCTTACAACGATTGGGCTCTTCAGTATCTTCTGACTGGCACCCCTTTGTCGACGGCTCGGTCTCAACTTCAGTCGAGGGCAAAGCTACAGATTTTGAGCCCGA